CATCACGGGCACTCTCCGCGCTGCCTGGGGCACGGAAGCGGGTGCGCTGCCGTGCGGGCCTGAGCCGCGCGGCTAAGGTCGTGCATGTCCTCCTACAGGCCAATTTTGGGCGGAAAATTGCAAACACCCTCAAAAAGATTCAAACATCGCCATCAAAAAAATAGCCGAACCATCGTCCCCACATTATTTGTTGTTACTAGTTCTGAGCACTCCTCTTGTAGAGGGACGTTCCCGACTGAAACCGAAGGACAGCACCGTCGCCGCGGACGCTCCCGAAGGCGGCGGCCCGCCGCAGCGCGCCCGCTGCTGCGGCGCGCAGCGCCGTAGAGCGCCGCCCACTGCGCCGCCCAGCACCTTGCCCCGCCAGCGCGGGTCGCTGCCACGCCGCCACGGGGAGACGCTGCGGAATGCATCACCGAGGCCGCTGCCACGCTGCGGCGCGGCCGTGGCTATTTACACATATAGATGTGGAATAACAAACGTAAATATGTATGTACATACATATATATATGTGTGTGTAGATAAATGTGTATACAAACATGCATGCATCTACATATATACACATATACAGATGTATAATTATACGGTATACATATGCAAACGCATACATGCATACATACATACATACATACATACATACATATGCATATACATACATACATACATACAAACATACATACATACATACATACATACATGCATACATACATACATACATACATACATGCATTCATACATACATACATACATACACACATACATACATGCATACATACATACATGCATGCGTATATGCATATACATACACACATGCATGCATACATGCCTACGTGTATAGATCATAGATACATACATAAATATGTATATGTATACACACATACATACGTGTATGCAGATGTATATATATGTGCATACCTACATACATACATAAATACATACAGTCATACATACATTCATGCCTGCATACATACAAAAATACATACGTTCATGCATGCATACCTGCATGCATGCATACACACAGATCAGTATGCATACATGCATACATGCATACATACATACATACATGCATGCATACATGCATACATGCATGCATGTATACATGCATGCCTACATACATACCTGCAAACATGTATACATACATGCGTGCATACACGCATGCATGCATACATGCATATATATATATATAAATATATATATATAGAGACAAGCATGCATACATACATACATACATACAAACATACATACATACATACATACATACATACATGCATGAATACACACATGCATGCCTACATAAATACCTGCAAACACACATATATATATAGGCATGCTTATATACATACACACATACATACATACATATACACATGCATGCATGCATGCATGCATGTATGCATGCATGCATGTATACATACATACATACAGACAGACAGACAGACATGCATACATACATACATACATACATACATACATACGTATGTACATATACACTTATATATCACCGAAGGAGCTGCCACGCTACGGCGCCCATCACCGAGGGCGGCTCATCGCCGGGATCACGTGCCATGCCACGCTGCTGCGCGCCAACACCGAGGGCAGGACAGATAGCTCTGCGACGCCTGCTGGCGGGACGGGCGCGGTGGTTCGCACCCGCCCATCAGCACTGCAGCACGACATCGCCCGCCGCGCATGCGGCTCGGCGCGCCGCGCGCCCGCGTCCTACCAGGCTCTCCCGCCGGCTCACGAAGTGGCTGCCAAATTGGCTTCTCGGCGGAAGCAGCACCTCGCATCGCATCCCGCGCCACGGGCCCGCTGCGCCCAGGAGCCCACAGCCGAAGCATGGCCACAAGAGCATGTACATGTATACACAGATACAGCTGTATGTTTATGATATATACACATACAAACACATACATACATGCATACATACATATACATTTATACATACATATTTACATACATACGTACATACGTACGTACGTACATACATACATTCATACACGCATACATACATCGCATATAGATACATACATACACATACATACATACATGCATGCATGCACGCATACATACATGCATGCATATATGCATACAACTATATGTATATGCATACACACATACATACGTGTATGCAGATGTGTATAGATATGTGCATACCTACATGCCTACGTGCATGCCTGCATACATACATCCATAAGTTCATACCTGCGTACCTGTATACACACACACATCACTATAAAAAAACATGCATGCATGCATATATACATGCATATATGCATACATACATACATGCATGTATACGCACATGCCTACATGCATACCTGCAAACATGTATACATACATGCGTGCATACATTCGTGCATGCATACCTGCACATATATATACACATATATATATGTGTATATACACCTATATATATATATATGTGTATATACACATACAAGCAAGCATGCATGCATGCACGCATGCATACATACATGCATGCCTACATACATACCTG